TTTCAATTGGAGGACTGGACCTTTCCGGGCATAAACGCGCTGGATGATGAGACCAGCAATTCTAACGCAGCCACACCGTTCCCTCTCCAGACGTTTACCTGTTCGACTACGACGACGACGACGACGACGACGACGACTACGACTACGACTACGACTACTACGACTACGACTACGACTACTACGACTACGACTACGACCACGGCTAGTACCACTGAAGAATTTTGCCCAGGTGGTGGGTCGTGCTCTTCGCTCCTCTCCGAAGCCCCTGACATGATCATCACGGGCGTGATCGATGGACCTTTGTCAGAGCCCTTGGGTACTCCAAGGGCCGTGGAGTTGTACGTTGTCAAAGATATTCCCGACTTGAACATCTTCCAGTTGCAAGTGGCATTAAACGGGGGTCAGCCGAGTTCGTCTATCAATTTCCTCCCGTCCCGTTCAGCCACAGCTGGAGACTTCATCTACGTCTCTTTCGAAACTGCGGACTTCAATACGTTCTTCGGTTTCGACGCGAACTACACCAACAATTTCCTCATTATCGATGGCGACGACGCGATCATTCTCTTGCAAGGAGGCGTTTCGCTTGACATCTTCGGTGTAGTCGGCGTCAGTGGGAATGGGCAGCCTTGGGAATACATGAGTTCCTGGGGGTACCGCAAGATCTACAGCTCCGCCGCTTTTAACCTTAGTGACTGGGAGTTTCCCGGTCCAGGCGCTCTGGACGGCGCAAGCACCAACACTGACGCAACTTGGCGACTGTTGGATGTGGCTGGATTTCGGGGTTCCTATATTGTTTATGATGTACCCTAGCAGTCCAAACAGCGCAAAGCAAGCAGTATTCGCAGACTGCACGCAGCATGGTGGGTTACTTTGATTTATAAGGAGGAAAAACGTCCAACTTTGAGACGCCAGCCAAGGCAAGCGCGCCATTCCCTGTGGGGAGCTTCTGCTGTAAATAGGCAGCCGTCAGGTTTCACGAAAGTTTGCACACCGTGCATACCTGTAGCCCCAACAGCCTACCCTGTTTGAATGAAGGAATGTGCATATGTAACGCATCATGGCGAATGCTGAACATGCAGGCTTTTGTTTGGGACGGTTCAGGCTGTAGGTTTGCGGACAGCTGACGAACCCCAAGTGTAAGGTTTGAGGTTTTGGAGTGTTTGGTTTCGGGTCATAGCCTCAAAGCGTTTTGTTTGAGTCCTTCAGCCCTTGGTTGATGAGGTGTATAGTTGAAACCACGGTGTTGTGGCATGGGATGTGGAGGGTTTGGCGCCCTGAACCCTAAACCCGTAGAGGGCGAGGTACTTTCGGCCGTCGGGATACCGTGAGAGCTCTTCAACACAGGTTTAGGGTTTAGGGTTTGGGGGTTTAGGGGTTTAGGGTTTAGGGGTTTGGGGTTTGGGGGAGAGCGCCAAGAGCATAATATTTAGTTTGTGAAGCCTCTTTGACCTGTGCAAAACGCGGATACAAGTCTTCCCTGGTAGAGTCAGTGTAGACCGGCTACAAAAGGGTTTAGGTGCTGAAAAAGGGCTTTTACTTTTACGCACAGCCCCAATGAAGGGAACACCTACAGCTGCAGAGTCTGAAGATCCGAATACTTACAAGCTCGAACCGCAAACCCTCTAAGAGAAGTCTGCTGTGGGTCGGGTTGCACATGGCTTCGTAAGCTTCGTGACATCGTGAAGGTGCTTTCAGCTGTAGTGCGCTCCAGACTATACCCCCCGCACCAGAAAGGCCTCCAATTCAGCATGATGTATATAAGATGCACTCTTTGATTCAAGGGGTGAACCCTAAACCCTAAACCCTAAACCCTCTACCCTAAACAAAGTAACTTGGGTTCCCCAACAAGGAGGATTAGACGTCCTGGTTTGTGCACGGGATCTACAGCACTTGCATATTGTTGATTATTGGTGATGGACAAAGTCCTGCAGTACCGTGAGCCATCTAATCCTATTTCCCCTTGTGGAAAGTGCGGGAGTAGCACAAAACAGTGCTTTGAAACCGTTGGCTTCCTCCGTTTAGGTTTACCTCACAAATGCCCTTTGAAATGGGACTCTCCCCGTCTAATCAACAGAACCCTGCAAATGCATAAGGGGTTTGCACTCCATGGTCCGCATATCGCTGTGTAGCTTGTCCCAATGGACAAACTTGCGGAGCTTGTTGCATTGCACATATTGCACCCTTATGCACCCTTAAAACCCTAAACCCTAAACCCTAAACCCAAAGCTGTCGCTTCTTGAGCAGCCCTGGTAGCCGTGAACCATGATGGGACGACTTGAACCCCTAAGTTGAAGATATCCGAGAAATCTAGAGGGTTTAGGGTTTAGGGTTTAGGGCCTAGGGTTTAGGGTTTAGGGTTTAGGGTTCTTTCCATGGCTTGAAATTTTCGTAAACCTCTTTTTCAGGGTCCGTCTTAATCAGGGGAGCAGCAGGTGTTCTTCCAGGGGCCCCCATTACAGGCAATCCCGTGCATCTTCGCGGGTTCAGGCGGAGGGCTTACTAGAAGAGCCACCGGGTGTAGAAAGTAATTAGGGTGCATTTGTGGGCTATCCGAATCACCCGCTTGATTGCGACCTACTTTGCTGTAAGTCGCCTGAGCTTCGAAATAGCAAGATCTTGACATGAGCAGACACGCATGTCCACAGCTTGTTAAGGTCTATCGCATCCTGGCGCCCGCTCTTGCAGAACCTGATGTCGGCACCTTGTACGAATCCGAAATCCTCCGACCTCCCTTAATTCTAAGCCCCAACTTTACAAAGCCTCAAAAGCCCGAACCCCGAATTTAAGCCCCGAACCATGAAACAAAAGCTGCGCCCGCGAGGAGTAGAATCGTATCAGGGACGTATTTGGAGGCGTTGGGGAGTTAGCAAGTAGATTAGGTGATCCTTGGAAGGTTCCTGTCAGGGTACTCGATGAGCAAAGCCGGCTCATGAAGCATAAGCTTCAAAGTTGGAAGCCCAATAGCTTCAGGGAAGCCCAATAGCCTCAGTCCTTAAGAGTAATATACAGGGAATCCCAACAAAAAACTGTTTTTAATCCGGTTTGCAACTTTTGGGGTTTTAGTATAAAGTGCACCAAACCCCAAACCCGAAAGACTCAGTCCAAGGCTCCACCAATTGCTGCTAAACGCATTGCAAGTAATCCACAAGGAAGCTCTTAGAGGGCTGAGTTTCACGGCATATTCCCCAAGTAGGGATAATCAGAGTTTCAATTCGAGGCAAAAGAGAGCTAATTTTCACTTGCTATTCTATACTGTACTATAGTATATGTGCGCAATATAGTATAATAACACTATACATATTGTACAGTATGCACACATACATTTTTGCATACATACACATGTTTGTATCAAACTGAGGCGGCCGACAACTCGCGTTTGCCACCGGAGGGCCTACAAAGTTGCCTTGATGCGGTCTGCTGCTTGGCATGCGAAGCAGCAGCCTTTCTAGGCTTCTCAATAACTTCGGGTTTAGGGTTTTTGATAGACTCTGGTCTTCATCATGTTGTTGCTACGAACATAGCAGTGGCAACGGGTGCTGACTAAGAGGCTTTTAAAGTAATGCTAGCTGCTAGCAATAACGACACCGAAATTACGCAAGATTGACGAACTTGCCCTTCTGGAACCCGTTCTGACTGGACAGGGGATGAAGCCGAAGCTCGGCAAGCAAGGGGAGCAGCATCAAACTTCCATTCAACGCACGAAGAGGCCATAGTGAGGCCTTAATTTTGCTGGTTGGAGTATGTCGCAGTAAGTTTCGGGGGGTACAGTAGAAGGCACCTGTAACATCGAGCCCTGAAGCAGCCTGGGGCATATCTTGTGGAATTGCTCCGCCTAAACCCTAAACCCTAAAACCTGAACCTTTCCATATTACCAACCCAGCTAAGCCTAGGCCTCAGACCATCTCAGACCCTTGAAACCGGATTTGCCTAAATCCCCACATCAGAGCGGGCTTCAGGCTCTTGTCTAAGATGCTGTTCCTGAGCCCTAATTCCATAGCGCTAACGAACCGAAACCCTAAGACCCACATTATAGATCATTATAGTAAGACGCATAATGACTCCCCAACTCACGTGAAAAAGTAGAACCCCATGAAAGCTGCAAAATCCTGGTAGGAAGCGCTCAACCCCGCGTGTGCATGGAGGTCACTACCAGAACTGAAGACAAGGGTACCCGGGCACCCTTAGTGTAAAAGGTATACTCGGGAATTTAGGTAAGACTGACAACCCAAAATACGATCATGATAAGTGCCATGACCCCAGATACCCTTCACTCACGTGACTTAAAGACACAGACCGGCAAATGTGGCAGTCGTAACTACAAGCCCATAGAAGAATCGTACAGCTCACTAGCGAAATCTAAACGCTAAACCCTAAACTGCAAACATCCCTCAGCGCCCTTAACCTTATAGGCTTAGGGTTTAGGGCACAATACAATGCAATATATTACAAAGGAAGGCATGTAAAAGACACTAGGCTGTCGCAAAACATAGTGACATATGACGTATCATATCACGGTGTAGCAAAGTACTGTAAAGTTCAATATAATGTCATACAGTACAACACAATTCAACATAGTGTGATGTAATATGGCATGACATATTGTTATGTAATGTGATGCATTGGTATGTTTTGAAATACAACCTAATGTCAGATCATACGGCATCGTACCATGGCACTTATGTATACACATGTATATATATATATATATATGCGTATATATATACACACATACTTTATATATGTGCACAAGCCCAAAACTTCCAAGAGCTAGAGATCCAGATCCAGAATTGAGGTGCGAAGCTGCGGGCGGCGGAGTTTGTTGGGCCCTCGGATGGGATTTCGGATAGTGAGTAGAGCAAGGTTTAGGGTTCAGGGTTGAGTGGAGAGTCCAGTTTGGCGGCATACTCTCTAAGCCCCTGCTGAAGAAGGGTTGGGGGGGAGCTCCGGATATTATAATCGTGTGGGGGGTCTACCTTATAGCACCTATTGAACCTATTGTTTCGGCAATTTGGGGCTTTGGGTTTTGTGTCTAGGTATTTGTCGTCTTGGCTTTAGGGTTTGCGATTGCGTTTTTATTGTTTCTAGTACATTGTTTCAGGATGTTGGGTTGAGGGTTCTGTTCTTGGGTTCAGAGTTGCCGGTAGTATCTCTCTTGCCGGGTTGAAGATTTTTTGAGACTACAGGTATCGACATTTTCCCATCACAGTCGCGGCTGTCAGCTGAGCGGTGCTGGTACTGCAGTCTACTTGTTTTGGAATTCAGATCACATAAAGAAAAAATCCTGGATTTAGGCCGTGAGGAACTTATCAAGCAACATAGGTATCCAAACAAGGATGGTACGGTTGATGATATAAATCCTGTATTACCCACAATAAGGAATATACCATAATTCCCATAGCTTAGGGTCCTTAAGGTAATGCAGGATATATATCATCAACAGTAGTATAAGAGCCCGCAAAGGCTCCTTGAGGAAGGGCTGTAACACAGATCCTTGTATGCAGGCCGTGTCTATTTGGGATTTTCCCAAAATACGGGGTACCTTATTTTGGGGTCCTAATAATAAGGACCCTACTATCTAAGGTACTATATTAGGGTCCCCTATTTTTGGAAACCCCTATTTGTGTGATGTAGTCATTCGGCACCCTACTGGAAGCCCGAGTCTGTCAAGGCCTTCCGTGGGGTAACTTGTGTAAGGGTTCAAGGCTTGAGGGTGATACTGCTGATGGACAAAATCCTGCATGACCCAAGTATAGTATGGTACCACAAATCCCATAGTTTAGGCATATAAGGTCATGCAGGATTTTGTCCATCAACCGTAGTATGTGTCAAAGGTTATAGTGGGCCCTGGCCCGGCAGCAGTATAGTGCAGTATATCCTTCCTTGCACAGGCTTCTCCTGTTCAGTTGCAGCTTCTACACAGAGAGCTGTTGCATTGCATCTTGCTCAGGGCGCAGGATTT